GTAAACGCCGAGACACGCATATGTGTATGATTTATCTGTCCGATTCTGTATAAGGAAACAATCTATGTTCCAGATCCTCCCATCTCTTGTGGATATCCTCCGAGATAACGCTGCAAATGTGCGTTGTTGTCTCCCCTGCCTACAGTTTGTCTACTGGTCTTTGCTACACATTGACCAGCTACAGCAGACCCAACAGGTGACCCCTTTTGTCTATGATTGTTCCTGAAAAAGAATTGCTAGTAGTTGATAGGCAAAGAGAATGAAAACATCTTCTGTGGAATACTGTAAATTTTAATTAACCTGGCCCCCCAGGAAATCGCGGTCTTGCGGCCGCGTTTTTCGTCGAGTTCTGCAATAAACCCGTATTTTTTTGCAATTTTCGCAATTTCTTGCAATTTTAGGCAAAAATACATCGTTTTAATTTTAACAGAATTTTTTATACGTAATGGTGCGAGTAAAGAACCGATTGGCCTACGTATGGTTTCGGCCCAGCTCTAGCCGGATGGGCGTACTCTAAAAGCTATAACCGGAACTTCAGGCCGGAATACATTATACAACACAAACTGAGACCAAAGATACTACACCTATAGATCTAATGTGTGTAAGCGTGCGAGTGCGCGTGGGCTAGAAAGTAGGTGTGTGCTGTGTGCATGTGTGTGCGCATGTGAGTGTGTGTGAGTGTGTGTGTGTGCGCGCGCGCGCGCGTGTGAATATTCGTATTCGTACATGATGCATGTGTCTACATACACGGCGGTAAACGGGCACCTCGTCTCAGTATCTACGTACACGGTAACCGGAATGGAAATAAATCAATATTTGCCCTGTGCTGTCACTTGTTTTAAAAAAAAGAGATACATGTACAAGCGTCTTGTCAGGCCCGCCATCGTCACCGGTCAGTGAACCTGGGCTTTCGCATCACATTGTGAGTACCAGTTGGGGTCACCAAAGTTCAAAGTTTGTACGCTGCGAAGTACAGGGCTCCAGAATTGGGGATTATTGGTTGTTTTTTTTAAAGGTACAGTCGGGAGAGGGCTAGGGATGAAGGCAACACCGGATGACAAAAACTGAACTTGGAGTTCTGAACTGCTCGGTTACCGTGTACGGGACACCGGTTGCCGGTTACTGTGTACGTAGACACTGAGGCTACGTACCTGGTTACCATGTACGTAGACACTCCGTTATGTAAAATGCCTTAGGCTGCATTCACACGGGAGTGGGCGCTATAGAAATGATCTACATTATTATTACTATTGTTTATAAATTGAAAAAAAATGTTCTGTATTTTACGATTTGACTTAGTGTTAAAACAATACCATACTGTTTTAAAAAAGAAAATATCTGAAATAGATCCAAACCCAGATTACCGGTGTATCGAAGATTTCAAGACAAAAATAGAACAGGATCTGAATTGATTGGAGCATAAGCTAATTTTGTCTTTAGAGGTTGTTTAGAAAATCTCCCATAAATGTTTTTGTTTTTATAGACTAAACCTCATACTGCACTTTTACTTTTAGATCTTTGCAAGAACCAAGTACCCTGTATGTACTAAATTTGGTCAAATTCTATGCCTTCATTTAAAAGTTATTACGAAAACCGAGGGTTCCCTTATTTTGTGTCACGCGGTATTATATTATATTTGGTCGGTAACTTTATTGTTCATGCTCTCGAGTGTTGTAACTAGTAAATGTTGTTAATAAGATTTGTATTGTGGGTCATGATTTTTTAAACGAAGTGTATACAGACCCGGTAACCGGGAACAAAGTCACGAAGTATACAGACCCGGTAGGGGAACTC